CAATAGAAATATCTTTACATTTTGAATATTGTATGCTTGGCATACATTTCTTTGGTGCTTTTTACTCATGAAAACGCATAAGTATGGATAGACTTCACTAAGTGTTTGTGTGAGTATGTGTATAGTGATAACAATCTTACCAAAGAGAAGAAAAATAACAACAGTTTACAACCCCGATATGGGTACAGAATTGCGCATGCCTTCAGAAATATTTTCTTCCTTCTTTTCCCAAGAAAATTGCAGTTTCCCTTATGGTTCTCTGAATTTATTTATGTAGTGTGCCTTGATTCAAATTCCTCATATACGTAGTTTTAACAATTTTTTTGGCTCCTTAAAAATTTTTTTATAGATTTTTCGATCCATGCATAAAATGAAACAAAATTTTATAGTTTTCTGTAATTTTTGGGGTAGTTTTTGACCTAATTTCTAACAAACTTTATTAAAATACGTACACACACTAGCATATTGTGTGAAATTCCATAATATGTAATTTTTTTGGATTTCTTTAAACTATCCTTCAAAATGACATTGCTTTTCTTAATTTAACTTGTAACTAGCAAAAATTGGTGCCAAAGAAACTAGAGACTTGATAGCAGTTTGGCTGTTAAAGAACAATATGATATTTACATCGGGTATCTTGTTGCCTAGGTCCTATTTTGCTGCGTAGTGAATCACTTGAAAGGCACTACAATTGTTCGGTAGTTAAAGTGAAATACTAACTCCCAGTATATTGGAAAATATGCTACTGCTGACCACTTCATCAATTTTAGAAGCATCAGTACAAATGTCTACCATGTTAACAAAGACCCCTTTATCTAGAGTCCAGTTTTACAACTAGGTATAAGAAAGTCGAATCTCAGATCGAGGTCTAGGTTAAAAAAAAGGTACTGAAAACATAGAGTTCAATTGGTTTGCAAGACAACCATCCTTCTTTTCAGTTGCTCGCCACCAAAATACAATCCCATATAGAGGGATTGGTTAAATAATAGCTGTATAGATTCAGACCATAATTGGAGATCCCATTTGGAGCCTTACTTCTTCTGCAGCAATAATTAGCAGATGTAGCTTTACAGGTTCTTACACATATGTTAGCCTCACAGTTGAGTTTAGAGACAAGCATAAAACCCAGATATTTCACTTTTATGTTGATTAAGGAAAAGAGAAGGTATATTTTATGCCTTCTAGCAAAGAGCATAGCCTCTGTTTCTGTTGGGTCAAATTCACCACACCATTCTGTCACAGTGAATACTGAAGAGTTATTAATATTGGACAGTACCTGGTGAAAATTAATTCTAACATGCATATAATTATTATGAATATAAACTAATAAATAAAAACAGTAGCTAGCATATTATAGAACTAAAAAATAATTATAAGTTAAGGGCAGGACATACATCATCATATCTTAAACTAGCATATCATTAAAAAGTTAAATTTCACCTCTTTGTGCTAATATTTCCTTTTCTTTATTAGTGTAAAAGAGCATTTGCAGACCTGATGTGCACGTGTACCTGCCATAAAACAATTAAATGCATTGGAGTTAATCCACCACATTTTGGTTTAATGTGGAATGAAATGTATATTGAAATTTGCAGAGAAAATAGAGAGAATAAGAGACGGAGAGATACTTACATTAAGATATTAAAGTAAAATGTAATTGAAAAAATACACAAAGTATGGTTATTCAATTTTTTCAGTCAAATTAAAATCTTTTAAATTTAT